CTAGACACAGCCAGCCTGAGAAGGACTGTTTGGGGCTTGCCATATCGACAAACCAAAGTATCCATATGACTTTGAGAATGGTGTGCTGAATTGTGTGTCCTGTTCCCTTCTAATGGGGTGTAGGAGTCTCTTCTGGGATTGCTCATTTCTAACTGTTGGTGACATGATTTCCCTTTATAAAAGCTGTGCTGACTCTTCTCCAACATAGTGTGTTAATTAGGGATGTTTAAAACAGTGTACTGGTATAAAGCCTAACTTTATACTGCCAAACCCAGAGGGAAACCTGCCTGGGAATGGGGCTGCCAGCTCTTGCTCACCCATCTCCTGGTGTGGAGTCTCTGCAGCTGCAAAGCTTCCTCCCGGGGAGCAGAGCCAGGTAGGCAGCTCTTGCTTATCGGTTAAACTGTTAATCATTTATACTCAAACATCCCTAGTCTTAATCCATGAGCCAGATCACTCTGTTCTTTACTGTAGTTTCAACCAATTTACCTGGCACTATTGGGAAAAAACAGGATCACCCCTGACGCCTTCTTTAACAAATCAGCATTACATTAGCTACCCTTCGCTCTTCTGGTACAAAGGCTGGTCTAAGCAATAAGCTACATTTGGATTTCCAGAATTCCTAACTCTGAAAATGTAAGTTTCTCCAGAACTCTTGGGTGACTACCAACTGGTCTTAGTGACTTACCACTGTTTAATGTCTCAGTTTGCTCCAATACCTCCTCTACTGACTGTTCAGTCTGGGCCAGTTCTCAGATTTGTCACCTAAAAAGAATGGCTTGAGTGAGAGAATCTCCTTCACATCCTTGCAGTAAAGCCTGCCGCAAAGCATTCACGGAGCTTCTCCTCGGTGGCCTTCTCTTCACTGAGTGCTCCATTAACTCCTTGGTCACCTTGTGGTCCCACAGATTGTTTGGCAGGCTTCCTGCTTCTGATGTACGTACAGTTTTTTTTTACTAAAACAATGAGGAGTCTGTGGCACCTTAGAGACTAACAGCTTTATAAGGGCATAAGCTTTTGTATGTAGAACCCACTTCATCAAATGAATTGAAGTGGAAATTGCAGAAAAAAATTACTGTTAGTTAGTGTGTCTTTTGCTAAATGCTCTTCAAATTCTTTTTGGCCTAACTAATTATATTTTTACCCTTGACTTGCCAGAATTTATGCTCCTTTCTATTTTCCTCACTAGAATTAAACTTCCAATTTTTAAAGGATGTATTTTTGTCTGTAGCCACCTCTTTCGTTTTGCTGCTTAGCCACAGTGGCATTTTTCCAGTCCTCTTACTGCTTGTTTGATTGATTGATTGATTGATTGTATACATTTAACGTGAGCCTTTGTTATGGTGTATTTAAATAGCTTCCATGCAGCTTTGAGCCAGCATAGCCTTCTCTAGAGACTAACTAGAGAATGGGTGCAATGCCTTGCAAAGTCTCAGGGAAGAGTAAGAGGGCATAGGGACCAATGTCATTTGGGAATAAACATTGCTAATGAAAAAAAAAGGTTAAAGTTGGAAATACTGCATCAGTGGAGGTGGTGTTATATTGTGTGATACCACACTAGATATAAAACCAGAGATGGGTTCAAACTGCAAATTTTGGCAGACACCTGGAAGTCTGTGGTTAATCCTAGCACTTAAAGGCTATGTCTAGACTGCAAGCTTCTTGCGCAAGAAGCTTTTACAGAAGTGCGCATCCACATTGCAAAAGTGCATAAAAAAGCAATGCGCTTTTGTGAAAGAGAGCGTCCAAACTGCATGGATGATCTGAGGAAGTGGGTCTGGCCCACGAAAGCTCATCACCTAATAAACCATCTTGTTAGTCTTTAAAGTGCTACATAGTCCTGTTTTTTGTTTCTCTTGAAAGTAAGCTCTGATTGCTATGCACAGAATGGCCACCAAGCCACCTGTGCTTTTTCCTTTCTGCGCAAAAAAAACCCTCTTCCCTGTTCTCTCACACCTTTTTACAGAAGAGCTCTTTAGCAAAAAGGCATTCTTCTTAGTAGAATGAGGAATACCTATACCAGGGGAAAAAAGCCCTCTGTTCTTTTGAATTTTTTTGCACAAAAACATGCTTGAGATGTGGATACTTCATGAGGTTTTTTTTTCCATAAAAATGGCCATTTTTCTGAAGGGAAAAAAAACACCTCTGTAGTGTAGACATAGCCAAAGATTGGTAAGCCTAGCTTCAATACCTGGCCAAGGGCACCAAAAATGATTCAGGAAGAAGACTGGGACTGTTCATCTTAGAGAAGAAATAAGGGGGTTATGACAGAAGTCTATACAATCATGAATGGTGTGGAAAAAGTGAATGGATAAGAACCAGGTGTCATCCAATTAAATTAAGAGGCTTTAAAAAACAGAAGGAAGTACTTCTTCACACAATGGACCGTCAACCTGAGGAACACATTACTAGGGGATGTTGTGACAGCCAAAAGTATAACTGGACTAAAAAAAAAGAATTAGAGGAGTACATGGAGGACAGGTCCATCACTGGCTGTTAGCCAGTATAGTCAGGGACGTGTCCCTATGTTCTGGTTGTCCCTAAATCTCCAACAGCCTGAAGCTGGAACTGGATGATAGAAAATGATGAATCACTCAATAAGTGCCCTATTCTGTTCCTTCTCTCTGAATTTAAAGTATCTGGGAGACAGGATACTGGACTAGGTAGACCATTGGTGTAACTCAGTATGGTCATTCTTCTGAGTGTTCAGAACTGGATGTTTGGTTTAGTCCATTATTTAAAAAAAAAAGCCATTTGCAAATTTGAGATCTGTTTCAGGGTTTCTGTTTTGAACATTTCTCTTACTCATTCTTCTCATCATAAGTAGTGTCACTAGAGCTGGTTTCCTAAATTCTCTCTGACATCATGGCTGCGTCTAAACTGACATGATTTTCCGCAAATGCTTTTAATAGAAAAGTTTTTCTGTTAAAAGCATTTGTGGAAAAGAGCGTCTAGATTGGCACGGACGCTTTTGCGCAAAAGCATTTTTTGCAGAAAAGTGTCCGTGCCAATCTAGACGCGGTTTTGCGCAAGAAAGCCCCGATCGCCATTTTCACCATCAGGGCTTTTTTGCGCAAAATGGTTCTCAGTTGTCTACACTGGCCCTCTTGCGCAAAAGCATTTGCGCAAAAGGGCTTTTTCCCCGAACGGGGGAGTCGTATTTGTGGAAGAACACTGACAATCTTACATTAGATCATCAGTGTTCTTGCGCAAATTCAAAGCAGCCAGTGTAGACAGCTGGCAAGTTTTTCCGCAAAAGCACTTGCTTTTGCGGAAAAACTTGCCAGTCTAGACGCAGCCCATATGTTTCACTAACATTATACTGGAAGACAAAGCATGTATATTAATGTTCATGCTCAATGTCTATCTCCAAAGTGGGTTGCATTTTTCTGAATTTTTGTCCAAAACCTTTAAATAAAAACGTTATTTTCTCTGGAAAAAACAACCTTAGAATTTGTTTATGAACATTTTTATTACTTTTGGGTGGCAGTTTTCAAACTGTTGTAACTAAAATAATCCAATTATCCTCTATCTATTGAGGATTAAATATTTACATTTGAGCTACTATTGCTTACCACAGGTTTTAGAGAGGTAGCTGAGTTAGTCTGTTTCAACATAAACAACAAGAAGTTCAGTGGCACTTTAAAGACTAACAAATTTATTACGGAATTAGAGCATAACATTTTGTTAGCTACAGCTCACTTCCTCAGATCCTGAAGAGAAAAAGAAAGAAACAAAGACAGAAATTGCTTATGAAGTTCCATTAGAAATGGTGGAGAATGTGGGCATTATTAGATACTGGCTGTTTGGACAATAACACCCTGTTCTAACAACATTTCAATGGTAGATTTTAGTCCTTCATCTCCCTCCTGAGGATAATTTTATTGACACTGTGGAGGGGGGTCAGGCCCTTGTACTAAATTTCAGCATAAATTTTCCCACATTCCAATTTATTTTTAGCACACATCCCAGGAAATGTATCCACCCATGAGTCCTCCTTCTGTTTCCCTCCTTTGGGGCCTTTACAGCCTATGTATAGCGTTAATTGAGGGGGTATATATTTCTTCTTGCTCATAACAGAAAATTTGAAAATCTATTCAATTTAAACAATTACTCATCCAGAAAACTATTTTCTTGCATCAAAGAAAAGCTGTCTGCCCTTCACCACTAGTAATCCAATGAAACTTTGATATTTTGCGGGGGATTGTTTCCTCTGGAACTTTTTGTAAGAAAGCATGTGTTAACTCAGGTGTCCTGACATCAGTCCATTTGAATAATTATATCTGTTCATGTAATTTAGCTGGACTACATTTTTCTTCTCAGATAATCTTTATTTCTTGTTCAGAATTGCTGTGCACTATTTCTTTGCTCTTTTGAACAGTTGACATTTATAATTCCATATGGGGTTCCAGTTCAGATGTGGGGAAAATGACCCCTTCTTCCTGGGAACTGGTAGAACCGATAAACCATGGGTGGGGAACCTTTTTTGGGACGTAAGCTGCTGATCCACTGAAAAATCAGTCAGGGTCTACACAAAAGTGAAAAACAAATTTTAAAAAACCCACATTCCCCTCACACACCAAAGCCTAGGGGGGCCAGGTTAGTAGATTTTGTGCCCCCCCCCCCGGTGGGCCCAAAAATGAGGCGTTTAATGTGTGGGAGGGGGCTGCTGGGAAGAGAGCTTGGGGTGTGAGGGCTGGGTGGCAGAGAGGGTGCAGGAGTGGGTTGGTGGGTCTGGGAGGGAGGTAAGGTACAGGAGTGGGCTGGGCAGGAGGTAGTATATAGTAGTGGAGTTAGGGTGCGGGGTCTGGATGGGAGGGAGGCCGGCTGGAGCACCAGCTCCCCAATGCTGGGGGAATTCAGGCAAGCTGGGAACTGGATCTGGCCTCTGGGTCATAGGTTCCCCACCTCTGCAATAATCATAATGTGCACTAGGATCATTTGAGAGGAAAGATTATCATCATCTTTATATCTGAGCATTGCAAATGTTTTCTTCACAGAGGCAGTTCTCCAGCAATATCCTGGCTATGACGTTGTTCATCCAATCCGAATTGATGAGAGGGGATCTTTTCTGTCCTACGATCTGGCTCCTCATGCAATTCACAAAAGGGACCTTTCCTCCAGGAACAATTTGCTCGCCTTTTATGAGCTGCATTACAAAGGACAGCACCTAAAATTCAATTTAAGCATCAATAACCATCTCCTTGCTCCTGGGTTTGTTAGTGAGAGGCGATATGGAGGAATCACCAATGCCAAAATCCAGCCTTACAGTCACAACTCTTGTCACATGACTGGAGAGGTCCAGAACTGGGCACTGAAAGGTGGTTTAGCAGCTCTTAGCACGTGTGATGGGCTGGTAAGTGCTTCCATTGAATACAGAAAAATGACGCTTTAATCACAGGGATATCAAAATACTATACACCGGGGTAAAACCCTAGCTCCATTGAAGACAATGGCAAAACTCTCATTGACCTCAATAAGGTAAGGGCTTCACTAGGGATGTGATAGTGTAAATGTGTAAACGGTTAACCATTGAGCCTGGGCTCATCGGTTAACCTTCATGGTTACATGCAGCAGCCCACCTCCCATCGTGCTGCTGCCGCTGTATCAGAGGCAGCAGTGTGGGGTGGGGGAAGGCAGGAGACAGTACACATGGGGAGCTGGTTTTTAAGTAGGTTTCCCGTGAGCAGTGGCTCTGGGGAGCTGCCTGCGTCTCCACCCCTGGCGCTGCTCTCTGGCTCCCCAGCCACCCCCTCCACGTGTAAACACATAACCACTGACAATTTCAACAGCTACACATGTACCAAAATAAACACATTTTAACACACCTAGGCTTCACCCTGCAGATTTGATGCTGCATCCACTGAAATTAATGTCAAAGCTCCAACTGACTCCAGAGAAGCATATTCTCAAACGGTTGGTTTACCTGTTTGGGACTATGCTTTCTTGTCTTTCTCTCTGGGCTGCTGTAGAAAATAGATTTCAGGTGTGAACCACTGAAAACTGTCATATCTCTCTCCTGTGCTATAGTACATATGTGGGACCATAAAGGACTCCATAAAAACAGGGAGTGCAGAAAACTTAAAGATATTTATGGTAAAATAAATCATGGATGATGAAACTCATCATGGTTTCTGGACATCAGTGTCAAAGTCACACTCAGCTATTACTCACTGAAATCAGGGAAAACATGGTTTTCATGGAAGCACCTAAATTTAGGTCTGAAATGAAAAGATCTTTCCATAAAAGATACAATAAATCCAGTCTGTTAGAGTAGAGGCAAACCTGCCTGCCTTACTGAGGATTACACAAGTCAAAGGGTAATATTTTCAAAAATGCCTACGTGACTTAAGCATCAAAATCCTATTTAAAAAATGACGAAGAAACTTAGGAGATGGCATGCAGATCTCATTGAATGCCTAAGTTGCTTTTGAAAATAGGATTTAGAGTCTTACACCACTTAGGCATTTTTGAAAATATTGTGCTTTATCTTGATCAATATTATTAACCTCAGACATTTCTGTTTCTATGCTGCTATCTTGGGGCAACAAATATTCCGATTGTCTTACAGGAGGCAATGGAATGTAGGAGGAATTTATCTTCTAATGCCTGGTCCACAGATAGAATAAAGGAACTGACTATTGCTACATACGGAGAAATTCTTTTTATCTCAAGTGATAGAGGCCTGAGATTTTGGAGATAGTGATCTGAGGTTTTGCTGTGTGTGTGAGCACACACATATATGTGTGAGATTCATCTAGTAATTTTGTTAGTTGTCCTGCAGCATATTTTAATCTTAATATATTTTTAAAATATGCAACTGTGCATTGAATTAGTTTGCTGGAATGTGATGTTTTTTGAGAATCAATAATCTGGATTTTGGTCACAGATTTTGGGGTTTTTAACTTGACATTTTGGACTTTGCCACCGAAATTCTGTAACAATCGTTGATGTTGTAGGTCAGATGGTACAAGTCAATGTACAGGTTGAACCTCTGTTGATGTTGTAGGTCAGATAATCAGCTGGTACAAGTCAATGTACAGGTTGAACCTCTCTAATCTGGCGCACTCTGGTCTGGCAACATCTGTGATCAGGCTTGATTTTCATTAGCTGGATGCCCAATTATCCTGGGTGTCCAAGTTTCCCGCAGTCCCATAAAGTTTGTTACAGCCCCCAGTCCTGGCACTCGGTGTTCTGTGCTGTTATTTGGCTCTAATTTACCCCTTCAGTGTCTTCTAGGAACCCAGCAAGTAGTGGAAGTGTTTGCAATGCTGCTAGACAATATCAGCCTCCCATGGTCCAGCAAATTATCTGATTCAGCACCAGTTAGGTGCCAGACTAAAGAGGTTCAACCTGTAGCTTCACTGAATCTGGCCCCAAAAGCTATGTTGTAGATTACTAAGCAGTGCATAGCAGATACAGCACCGCACATAGCACCTGTTCATCTGCTGGAGAAGGTAGTAAGAGTAAGATCTATTTATAAGCATTATGCTGAGTGTTGTTATATGGAATTTAAGAATAAAATCTGAGAGATGCTTAAGGTTCCAGCTAATTAGTGCAGAGATCAGGAAAGGTTTGATCACTGTGTACAGAGGGTCCATCACAGAGAGAACACTGTAAGATACTGAGCTCATTCTGAGAGGTTCAGAGGACCTTTTGTTCCTACTGAAAAGAACAGGAGCTATCAGTGCTCAGCACCATTCATTACATTGAGTCTTCAAAGCATGTCTCATTACATAGCAGGATCAAGCCCTTGAGTTTGAACTTTTCCCTTAAGTTCTACAGCTCGCGAGAAGAATTTCTGGATTTCAAAGTAAGCCTGGCCAGTAAAGAGAATGGGATGGAGACGCAGTTTAGTGGCCGGGCCATAACAATTGAGATCCAAGAAGTTCTGGTGCCATCTCTAATACTCGCTTCCTCTCCGGCCTCAGCTGGCTTCAAAGCTGATGAAGTTGGGAGCTGGACAAATGCTGGAGCGGGGGAGGAGGGAGTATTTCTGAGCTTTCATTCAGAGATAAGAGGTGAATTCCTTTAGGAGCTGAATTCCTCTCAGTCACATCTTTGCAAGGGTCTGTAAGAGCGAAATATTGACTGCCGGATAGTTCATGGAAATAGGAAGTGTCATGAATACTCATGTGACTGTATTGGCACATAGATATACAGGCACGCTGGAAGCATTCACATGACCATCTTGAAAGCACTGTATAGGTGAGGGGACTTATCCAATCAGGAAGCGAAAGCAACACCATGTGACCTAGATGACCAGCCCCAGAGCAGGAGTAAGGCATAAATATCTGCTCAAAGCAGATGAGCGAGGGAGGGTAAAAGAGGCAGCGGCCTTGGGCCTGGCAATTTAAGAGTGACCAGAGCCCCACGCCCTTGAAATCAATGCAGGAGCTGTAGCTGAGGGCTGAAAGGGGGAGGCTAGCTTCTGCCCCAGCCCTTTCACCTGAGGCCCCACCTCTTCTAGGGGGCCTGGAGCTGAGCCTCCCCCATCTTGTCCAGGGCCTGGCGAAGTCTGTTGCCAGACTTAAAACCAATAATTATAAAGAGGCCATAGGCTGAAATATGCTCACATGAGCCATTTATCAAATAATATTAAAATAAAAAACAGATTAGTGAAAACTAAAGTCTATTTGCAAATAATCCCCAAAGAGAAGGGACTAATACCAGCCAGTGCATTGTTTGCTCTCAATAACTCTGCCGGCTCCGTTCCTATCACAGGAGTGTTGAGAAGACGAAATGCTCATTTGCAATGCATATTGAAGAAAAGTGCAATGCAAACAGTAAGGATGATTGTTATTTATTTAAAAGCAGATTTACTGAAATAGTGATTGACGGGAAAAATCGCTAGACAAAAAGAGGTAAGAACAATTTCACAAGATGTGTAGTTTAGCAGGGCTGACAAGTGATCAGGTGTCATATTATCAATCTATTTAGAATAAAAAAAGAACAGACAGTTAATTGTCTCAAATTAGGGAGCATTCTAACTTGACTTTATATATTTAAGCTTAACCTGTTTTTGTTTTTTCCAGCAGTCTGATGTTAAAACACCCAGTGATATACTAAGAGGCTACGTCTAGACTGGCATGATTTTCTGCAATGCTTTTAACGGAAAAGCTTTTCCGTTAAAAGCATTGCAGAAAATCATGCCAGTGATTGGCACAGATGCTTTTGCACAAAAGCATCTGTGGCCAATCTAGACGCGCTTTTGTGCAAAAAAGCCCCGATCACCATTTTCGCGATCGGGGCTTTTTTGCGCAAAACAATACCACATTGTCTACACTGGCCCTCTTGCGCAAAAGCTTTTGCGCAAGAGGGATTTTGCCCAAACGGGAGCAGCATAGCATTTCCGCAAGAACACTGACAATCTTACATGAGATTGTCAGTGTTCTTGCGGAAATTCAAGCGGCCAGTGTAGAGAGCTGGCAAGTTTTTCTGCAAAAGCACCTGCTTTTGCATGAAAACTTGCTAGTCTAGACGCAGCCAGAATGTATAAGGCATAGATGATAATTGTTGAAAGTAATGCAGTAGGAGCTGTTGCTTCATTATAAATAATTAATAACATATAATTTGGAACTGAGCTAAGAATTACACTCAGCATGTAAATAAGACAATACTGTTCTGTGGAAGCTTAAAACTAGTGGGGTAGGACACAGTGGCTTATTTTTACATATGATGATAATACTTGACATGCTAAACTTAATGTTGCTTCCATCCATATTGCCATATACAAGTGACCTGACTTGAAATTTCTGTCTGTGACAAGATCAAGTATAATTAGCATGCCTCAAGGCTAAATACCTTGGTTATCTTTTTGATCAACATCTGGTCTAGCACATTATGCTGTGTAAGCTGTAGTAATTACATGGTTAGAGTCTTTCCCCGCCTTTCGAGCTTTGTGGGTTTTAGGATCACATTTTATCTTTAACAGATTTTGTTTGCTTTTTTAAAAGACCATCCCACCTGATCCTTTCTGTCCAGAAAATTAAAATTAAATCATCTTTATTCCTTTGCTTGTTAAGGGCTTTATTCTGCTCTCTCTTACACTGGTGTAGATCAAAAGTAATTCCACTGATATTGATGAAATTACACTGGCAGAAAACAAGTGTAAGTGAGAATAGAATCCTTCCTGGGTAATATACAGGAAAATTATTGGGATAAAATAAGGAATTATCACATGCAATATGCAAAAGCATTAATATAACTGTAAATATTGATGGGAAACAAACAGCCACTAGAAGTAAATCTCATTATTTGCTGCTAATTCTTAATTTAAAATATTTTATCTGGACAAAATCTCCTTTTGATGAAACATGGGCCTTTTGAGGGATATTCCAGGCAATTATTAGACAG